CCATCGTCGTCGTGGCTGTATTAGTCAACAAGCTATATAGTTAGATGCCGGCGATGGGGCTATATGAGTGGATCATCTATACGTAGCCCGATATATGTGTCACTCAGTGATTGTGCCTGTGTAGTGTGCTAATTCACAGACACTAGTAGGAGGTACTCTCTTTTATTCCGGCCTTCACAGCCTGAGGGGATAACTACACACCGGGTCTGGAGAGCCAACACGCTGCCAGACCCACAACTTGCAGTAGGCAAAGATCACGACGATGACGGCACAACGAGTTCCACTCCAGATGTCAGCAGCCCCGAATGTGAGTTGGAGCTCGCCTTATATCCTCCCCAGCGTGGCCAGGCTCTGTCATCGGCCCCGCACCCCTTGGATCCCCCAGAGGACTCCGTGCCTTGCCCACAGGTGCAACTGGTAGAACGGGCTGTTACCCCTAATTCTATTGTCTACCAATCTCCCAGCGGCAGGCACTACAGTGACCCATCAATGTCACTACATCACCCCCCCCCCCCCCTCCGTGAAAAAAAAACAGCCGTCTCGGCTGACCTCCATACATCGAGTAGCAGGACGACGAACACCGCAATATCCACGCAACATTCGCAATACATGGCAACAATCCAGCTCCAAAAATAACAGCAACTCAATGACTAGTAGGGGCGGTCATGTGAACCGAACCGTCTTGGAACGGGTCCTTGTCGCCGGTCCCTCGTATGGGGCCGGCACGGGTCCCCCAGGGACCCTGGGGGTGGCTCGCAGCTGGTCCAACAAGCGCGGCCCCCGCCGGGACAAAGATGGAGGAGAGGAAGAAGTGGGTGGCGGTTGTATCGTCTACCCCGGTCCACCGGTGGGTGGCACTGCCAGTGGTTCCATGGGCGTCAAGCCCTGGGATCCTGCGGATGGAGGAACAGAGTTTCACAGAGGCGCAACCTCCGTAAACGTACGTCCGTCCCTGTCGGACACATCACACACCCGGCCATAAACAAGTAGGGAACAGGCATGTATATGTGCTTTCTTGAGCAGGGGGACCTTGCGGGCGCTGCAGGATTTCGGTCCTTCATGGCGTAGTGTGTTACCAATTGTTTTCTTGGTGACTATGGTCCCAGCTGCCTTGAGATCATTGACAAGATCCTCCCGTGTAGTTCTGGGCTGATTCCTCACCGTTCTCATGATCATTGTAACTCCACGAGGTGAGATCTTGCATGGAGCCCCAGGCCGAGGGAGATTGACAGTTCTTTTGTGTTTCTTCCATTTGCGAATAATCGCACCAACTGTTGTCACCTTCTCACCAAGCTGCTTGGCAATGGTCTTGTAGCCCATTCCAGCCTTGTGTAGGTCTACAGTCTTGTTCCTGACATCCTTGGAGAGTTCTTTGGTCTTGGCCATGGTGGAGAGTTTGGAATCTGATTGATTGATTGCTTCTGTGGACAAGTGTCTTTTATACAGGTAACGAGCTGAGATTAGGAGCACACTATTAAAGGGAGTGCTCTTAATCTCAGCTGAAATCTTTCTGATTGAGAGGGGGTCAAATACTTATCTCCCTCATCAAAATGCAAATCAATTTATAACATTTTTTACATGCGATTTTCTGGATTTTGTTGTTGTTATTCTGTCTCTCACTGTTCAAATAAACCTACCATTAAAATTATAGACTGATCTTTTCTTTGTCAGTGGGCAAACGTACAAAATCAGCAGGGGATCAAATACTTTTTTCCCTCATTGTACTCTTTGGTTATTTCGGTAAAGTCACTAGGTATAAAAGTAATAATACATAACGACGTTTCGATCGCCACACAAGCAACCGTCTTTAGGTGGGAGTGAGAAACAATATTCCCGAAGGTTCCAGGCCACGTTACACCTGCTGCTATCACGTCTCCTAACGCTAAACGGATCTTTATATAAGGACTTGTTTCAGCAGCCTGTTGCTCACTCCCACCTGAAGACGGTTGCTTATGTGGCAATCGAAACGTCGTGATCTATTATTATTTTTCTACCTACGTGACTTTACCGAAATAACCAAAGAGTATGGATTCCTGCAGTCACGAAAGCTTAAAATAAAGATTGAACTGCCTCTCCGGGGAGGGTTTTCACACAACTGTTAGATACTGCCTGGTCTGCGTGCCTGGAGATTGAAGACCGAAGATCGTAGACGAAGGGTTTCTTCCCCGGGATGGTCATCCACGATCCCTCCCGGGACTCGGCTTATGTTCCCTGCAGCGTGGCCAAGCTCCGCCCCTGGCCACGCCCCCTTTCCAGAAGCCTCCCGGGAAACCTCGGTCCCCATCACGTGACCCTTACACCCCCCTCTCGGGGAGCCCCCGTGTCATCCCGTCCAGTCACGTGTCCTCTCGGGTCACCCAGGCTGCCATGACCTTACCCGACCTTCCCTTCTGGCCGGCACACACACACACACACACCGTGCTCCTCTAGGGCCGGTACCACACTACAGAATGGTGATATCCGGCGATGTCACTACACAAGCATTAGCTTCAGTTGTTCATACCGAAGAACGTGCCAGTTGCAATGAATAAGGGACTCTTGTTATGCCATTGAGATGGAAAGAAAGATACGGACGTTTCGATGGACTGATTTCCTTCAGGACGTATTGAGTATTTACAGTTAGAGGACGGGTGGAGTGGTGGCACGGCACATAACGCACAGCGCTGTGAACGCGGCCGATCTGACTCTGTATCCGGGCGACAGCTAACATCAACAGTGAGCGATATCTTAACCGGTCATGGGCTCCGTCCCATCACCAACCCGTGCTGACCGGCGTGGTGAATTATACGGGGAGGGTCAAACGACCCCCATGACCGACACACATGTGGGGAGGCCTTCATCCAGCAGTGGATTGATAATGGTCTATGCATTTTGAAGCAGAATCCAAATTTCTTAAAAGGCCTCGATCTCTGTCTACCCAGGAGGAAAGTAACTGGCTATAGTGTACTGTAGATTGATGTCTTCTCTTTTGAAAGCCAATTGTAAAGGCAGATTGAGAGTGTTGTGTCTGTTATTGGTATGCCTAGGTTATTCCATATCTTTTCAGCTTCATAAATATCAGAAACGTAATGTATAATTGCGCGCGAGTTAGGAAAATGTTCTGAAGATTCCGGAAAAATAATCCCGATTATGCATCGTCTTAAAAAAAAATGCCAGTTTGACAAAGAGCATCAGCGTGCATAGATACAAGTGCATTTTGGTTCGCTGTTTTAAAACGATGGTCGATCAGAGCAGGTCGCAAAGTGTGGTGGGGCAAAGTGTGGGTGCTCGCAACTCTCCCAAGACGTCTGACCAGCGTGACGAAGAGTAAGGGCGAAATACCCTCCAGAGTTCTCGAGTCTCGAGGGGATTCTCCGAACTCACTCGGGGGTTTCTCTAGGACTCACTCGAGTGAAGCCCCCATTCGTCAGCAGCGGTGCGAGCAAGCAATTGCAGGGCTGCACCTTTCATCGTCGTCGTCGGCAGTCCCTCGGGGTTCGAGGATGACGCCCATCAAAATAAAAATATTTCATTTTTTTATATATATACTGGAGGTTTGGTGGTAACGCTCTTGAGGTGGCTGTGGAGTCCAATTCTGGATCGGCAGATCTTTGGGCGTTGGGGGGGCGCCACGCGGTGCCAGCTGGAAGTGGGAGCCGCAGTGGCCCAGGTTGGCTTCGTTTTCCTTTCTCTTTTGTATGGCGGCGATCCACTTTGGTCGGCATCGAGACGTCGTGGGTCTCGGGAGTTGGCCACGGCCTCGTGGATACGGCGGCGTCACCCCCCCGCTCCTCCCGGTCTTGAAGACTGTGACGAAGAGCTTCATAGCTCATCGGATTTGTCCAGGAGAAATAAAGATTCTGATTCTGACTGCATGTTTTACCTTTTACAGTTTACACAAACACTCCATGTATTTTCGTGAGCAACTTAAATATACCGGAGGTGATGGATGTGGGGTCGGCTGCAGGCTTGAGTGGAGGTGTCATTCGTGTTATGAGAGCACAATGAGTACTTCGAGCATGTGAAGAGTTATGCAAGCGTTCAGAGAGTTAATGAGGTTAATAATGGAAGCATTCGAGCATGTGAAGAGTTATGCAAGCGTTCAGGGAGTTAATGAGGTAAATAATGGAAGCATTGCCTCACTGGAGTGTAACCAGCCTTAAAAATTTTGCATTAATTAAAAAACACAACGAAATCCCTCTTTAGAAATTCACTTAGGCAGTTACCTATTGTACAAAGTTCACTGAAGCGGCAACTTTAGGACTTCCTTTTTAATTTTAATAGTTTTACATCGCAGTGCTGTGAGAGACCTGAACCACCGCGAAAGTGTGGTTGGCGAGGTGGAGATGGGCTGTGTGGTGGGCTTTGGGATGGAAGCAGCTTGAGGAACGGACCTGCCCTTGGGCAGTGAACTTAAGAAAGCATACGTGCAGACGACAGACTTAGAGACCCACTGACTTACATAGAGGCCATTGACTTACATAAAGATCCTCCTCCTGGGTACAATATTAAATTGCATTTGGTGATGGTGTCACCTCAAAAGGGAAAACTGTTGAGGAAAGCCAAGGAATTCACCTCGACCATTCTTCCATATTCTTGGATCTTTCGCTGACTTTACCGAAAGAACCAAGAATATGAATCCCTGCAGTCACGAAAGCTTTAAATCAAAATTCATTCTTCCCTAGTCACAACTAAATAACTTTAGCGCTGAGTGCTCTGTCATGTGCGATGGTGGGTGGAGTGAGTTTGGATGAGGTGGGATGGAACGACCTTGACCCATGGACTTGCCCTCGAGCACAGAACTAACTGCCAAAAACAGGGCTTAAACTTAACCGGGCTCTGTCCAGGTTGTTGACCCATGACACATTTCCGCACTTGGCACACCACGTCCAGTACTGTACACCTCTCGCAGCGGTCTCCTCGTTAGTGACCTGTAAAGTACACACTGAAAAATGCGTTCCTAGAACGAACGAACGAACTAACGATGAGCCAATTCCCATCGTGCCCTCCTGTGCTCCCAGCAGTGCCGCCCCGTGACCGCTCGCTCCGCCCGGCGTGAGGTGCCCTTCCTTCGGAGCGCATGGCCAGCGATGGGGGGGGGCCGCGCGCACCAGCTGATGCGTCTCGCCACGCTGTGCTGCCTCGCCCAGGTAACGTAGCAACGCAGAGATGGAGCGCGCGCACATGTACGATGCAATCCTGTAGCGTGACACTGTTTAAAAAGGGGGGGGGGGGCTAACCCCCCTGCCCCCCCACCGCCTCTGTCTACCTTGCAGTATAAATGGGTTCACTAGAGTTGGTTGGATGTGGTAGGATAGAGTGTGGGTACTCGCAAATCTTTCCAAAGACGTCTGACCAGTGTGGAAGAGTAGGCCAAATACTCTCCAGCGGGGCTATCTGGAGCTCCCTCTTGTGAAGGCTCTCCTGCCAGCAGTGGCTTGAGCAAGCAATTGCAGGGCTGCGCCTTTACAAATACTCCCGGGGAGAGGGTACACCACAGTCAATGTTTAGTAAACTTTAAGGCAGAGGATGAGTAACAATGCGACCTGTCTTTGCCTCTCGTGCCCTACACTACTATTTTGTTTTGCAACCTGAGGCGAATCAATGAGTCCTTACGCGCACACATTTCACCGAGTTGGATATCTGCACGTCAAATGTGACCATGTGACTCTTTCCTAATGATCGCCGATCATTGTCGCCCGAGCTAATTCTCTTCGATATTTTAATGGAAGCTTATAGGCCCAATCACTTGCAATGTGCTCGATCTCATCATCTCCACTGCGTCTATGCTTAGGAAGTCACCGGAGCGATGCACTTTTAAATATAGGTTGAAATCTAACTTCTTTTATAACTGCTTTTTATGTTTAGTTACTCCTTCCCCCGCACCTCCATTAAGCACGTTTGGCTACATACGGTGCAAAAGAATTTAAACGTACGTACATGCAAGGTAGGATTTGAGGGCAGTCCCTCTCATATGAAGGGAACCGAGTGCAGTACTGTACTGCAATAAAAGTGCAGTATTCCATCGTGACCTTCAGTTGATTAATCTAATCGTCGCAGCTCTACTGTTAACCGACCCACGGGTGAACGGATGACTTGCCCCTTTGTCGTGGAAATGCGAGTCGTGGAGAGCTAACGCAAAGGTAGAATGTACAGCCCTGCAATTGCTCACGGCATCTCGATAAAGAGAGCTAAACGGTTGGTGGACTGCGGTTTTTGTAAAATAGAACCATCGAGCCAAACGGTTTAAGTGTGAGCAGCGTCACGCGTCATGATTAACCGGCAAGCGCTTTTATTTTATATTAAAAAAAGCCCACGTAGCTCGCCTTGGTTGGCATGGCTATTTGATCTGGAGTTAGGCCGTGCTCTGTGGGGGGGGGGAAGGTGCAGGGAGGGTGCCAATGAATGATGACAGTGTGCCAACACTTGCACACTTGCATGTCACTACACTTGCAGTGTGCAAGTGTAGTGACATGGAATGGGTCACTACGTAGCATAGCGCTGGTTGCTGGCAGAGAAGGGGATCTGCAGTTGCAGCAGCCCTGTCTGTCAGCAGGTCACGTGATAAGCCAGAGAGAGGGATTTAGAGCAAAGGTAATAGAGGGGGCACGTGAGGTAAGCCCAGGAACCCACTAGTAGGTTCTAGAAGGAGGGCGTGGCTGGGGCGGAGCTAGGCCACGCTGGGAGGATAAAAGGAGACCCTGAGCGAATGCTCGGGGCTGTAGCTTGGAGTGGGATCCCGTCGGGCTGCTGGAGTCTTCGCCGCCGTCTGCGTCTGCACCATCTCGGCGTCGTCAGTCAGGAAGTCTGCCAGCTGTCCTGACTGAGAGTTGTAGTTATTCCTTGTAATTTGTGAAGGCTGTTAATAAATTGTGTGCCTCCTACTCCTAGTGTCTCTGAGTGCGTCACTACACAGGTGTAGTGTACTAATTCACAGAAACTAGTAGGAGGTACTTAGGGGATAACTACACACCGGGTCGGGACAGCCAACATGCTGCCAGACCCACAGCTTGAAGAGGGCGATGATGACGACGGCACGACGAGTTCCACTCCAGATCGCAGCAGCCCCGACTGTGAGTCGGAGCTCGCCTTTTATCCTCCCCAGTGTGGCCAGGCTCCGCCCTCGGCCCCGCACCCCTCTGGATCCCCAAGAAGGCTCCGTGCCTTGCCCACAGGTCCAACTGGTAGAACGAGCTGCTACCTCCAATCCCATTGGCTACCAATCTCCCAGCGGCACGTGCTAACAGTGACTCATTCAATGTCACTACACAGGTAAAGATGAAGCCACAGATTGGCAGAGGAGTGAGAGTGGCTGCTTGCGTATTGGTATGGTTACTTGTCAAAAGTGCGCAAAGTATTCCCATCCACTCTACCTCGCTGGCCTCTCAATGGTTGTAAAGAAGGGGCATTACCCAAATCATCGTCTATTGTATGCGACGTTTTTTTTTTAAATTGACGGATCTGTTGAGTTTTAAAGTATCCGGCGAATGAATGATTGACTTTTTAACGAGTGTGTGTATCTGTTTTACTATCACATGTGCTAATGTGCTTGAAACAAAAGAGGGCATATAATGGGAGGAAGGAATATCTTACAATACTTAGGTATGGGAGAACTACATGGGAAAGCGTTGTCTTGAATGGATTACTACTACACAATTGACAAAGACCAGGACATGTAATGTCAAATACCCTTTTGTAGAAGATTAGTACTTCGATACAGCCACATGTGTAACTTTGACCCTCGTCTGTGCATCGATCGTTCAATGTTAATGTGCCATTTTATTGAGGGACTACTGTGTGCTGTGTTGGTGTGGCCTGGCGCTGTTTTTGTTGTTGTTTTTGATATCTTGCCCAAGCTTGCATTTAGTGTTGAAAAATCTGACTTTAATACATACTTATATTTAGTGACTTGCTTAACCTTTTCCCTATTTTACACTCATATTGTATTTTTGTATTGTTCGTTGTTGTAACTCGCTGACCACCCCGCCCCAACTGAACATCTGTGCAATAGAGCTTCAGAGCTCCTACAGGCTAAATCAAGATCCTGACTCCGATTCGGCAGAGTTGCCGCAAATGAGGACGACAATCCTGGAAAAAAACACCAGGCCAAGTGGCAACCCGAGATGCGAAACAAAATCTTATAACGCAAAGCTGCGAGCAACTCAGAGTGCCCGCGGTAGTCGCAAAAGACAGACCTTACATGCTTATTCACGAAATCAATAAACGAACAATGTCTCCTTCACGCCCGTCTATTCATGTAAAATAATAAAAGAATTTCTCACACAAAGCCATCAGCTGCCCTACGGCTGTCTGGGAGTGCATACTTACAGTGTCTCATCAGCAGAGTCAGCTGACTTCAATAAACTTCTCATGGTTTTTATTTGTTTTGTTCAGGATGTGTCCCAACTGATATTTGACTTGAAAAATAACGTGAAACTGCATGGATGTTCAGTGGTTGTGCTGTATCGCTCTCTGATGTGTTTCCAGGTAGCTACCGCGTGCTGTTCCGAATGATGTCTGACGTTTCGCCCAATGTGCTGGGAGCTTTTTATTCTGCACTCTTCAGCTAGCAGTGCATCACCCTGTGTCAAGGGAGGGTCTTGCTACATTACTAAGTATGAAGTTTCTTCAATAGAGCTATGTATCCACACTAAGGATAAACGTGTAATTCCTTGCAGAGTGTTGTGGTCATTATATTTAAGCCCTGGGGAAGGAACACGATAAATGATGTGAGAAGAAATATTATTTAAGATGAGGGGGCTTTTCTGTGGATTCATTAGTGACTGAGTTAGTATGACACATTTGGTTATGTCCGGCTTAATTACAGGCGGATGAAACTTAGATTCCAACCCGGGATCTCAGTGGTTAGTGCACTGCGCTGTGAACGCAATTAACTCACGTAAAAATTCCCAGCCAATGGCTGAAGTCAGTGGCGAGTGATATGTGAACCAGTCCTGGACCCTCACTTTTCACCGAGCCCCACTGACCTGCATGGTAAAATAAGGACAAACAACCGTCATGACGAAAACAACTTTGGGAGGCCTTCCATCGACCAGTGTACAGAGAGTTCCCCAGATGCGAATGTCCGACTTACGAACAACTGCACCTATGAACGAACCGCCATAAGATGTTATTACTTTTAACCATCCGACTTGCGAGCGTTCCGTCGTACTTACGAACCAAACCGCAGAACTATTTTCTTCGGCGGAGCATTCCTCTGCGAGATGTAATGAGTCTCAGAATTCAGCGTGATGCTCACTGGCGGTGCATCGTTCAGTGCTCTTTTGCGTATGTAACGTTGTGTGCTGTTTGTGCTATTATTGCATACTTTTTGAAATGTTCGTGACTCTCATCATGTCTGAGAATTTAAGACTGATGCAAGTGATGTTGGTGCATCAAAGAAATGCCGCACCATTACGATGGAGATGTGTTTATAATATAGTATCTATCACAGTATTACATGCAAATGTGCACTATTTCCTCTTATTTGTGAGTTTAACAAAGCTTCCATATTTTGTTGAACCATAGCACATTTTATAACATTGACCTAAGTACAATTAAATAGTGAATTTCGAGATACGAACAAATCGACTTTCGAACGGCAATCAGGAACGTGGCCCGACAATTTGTAGAGAACTGCCCGTTTTTCCAAATAGCTGTAAATCAGCTTAGTTATTCTATATGAACTTGAGAAAATACATAATTGGGGCAGCTTCTAAAGTTGAGCAGTAAGACGAGAGGAGGAAGAGATATGGTATACGAACACAGTATGAATTGCAGGAAACTAGTCCGAGCTGATTTGGAAGCGTGGCGAGGCCGGTTTGGAATGTTTGTTGTTGTTGATGATTATTATTTTAATCGCATGGGCACAAGGAAACATATACAACACCTGCATGCAATCGCTCGGTGTGCCCCGTGACCATCCCCTCTCTTGGCCGAACTCCCACACAGTGGGGTGAGGGTGGAGGAGGAGGATGAGGAAAGAGTTTAAGACCACGATCGCTATCTGTAAATCAGCAGTCATTGCCGGAGGATGGGGGAGATTGTTCTCGACCTACGACGGAGAGAGCAGAGTGGAGCGATGTGTGATTATGAAGCCCGTCTGTGACCCGCCGTTCCTTTAGTTGAACCGGGACACTTACGTTAAGCC